TCAAAAAAAAGAAAAAAAAAATTAAGGTGTGTGTGTGTGTGTGTATAGACAATGCTATTACTGTACACAATAGATTACAATATAGTGTGGCTACAACTTTTATATGTACTGGAAAACTGAAAAATTTGTGTGACTCACTTTACTGCAGTATTAGCTTTTTTGCAGTGGTTGGAACAGCCTTCAGTATCTCTGAGGTATACCTGTATTTATTTAAAAAAAAAAAAAGCCTCTGCATTGTGTCTGTTTCCTTCAGATTCTATTTTTTGTTTGTTTTTGCCTCTCTTTTATGATGGAGACTTTATTGAAGTGCATGGTGATCCTTGGCTACTGACTTATATTTGAATGAGGCATGAAAAATTCATTGAGAGCTCCCTAGGCACTGGCGTAAAGGGCCTGAATTCTCAGTATCTTTAAGCCTGTTGTGTAGATCCTAGTTCTCCATCTGCTGCTTGGGGATTATGGAGGCCTTCGCACTAGGGTTTTGGGAACTAAGCTGTGGGAGAAGCCTGGGTTCTCAGTGTTCAGTATGTAGACCTCTGCTTGATCCCTACTGCACTCCAGTGCCCCTAGGTTCAGAGATTAACATGTGGACTGGGGGATGGTAACTTTTCCTGCAGATGGCCAGATAGTAGTCAATATTTCCTGCTTTGTGAGTGATTGATCTCTGTCACAACCACTCAACTTTGCTATTGTAGCATGAAAGTAGTCATAGAACATATACAGTGAATGTGAATGTATTCCAACACAGTTTTACTTATGGACACTGGAAATTGAATTTTTCTTTTTTTTTTTTTTTTGAGGTGGATGGAGTCACGCTCTGTTGCCTATGCTTGTGTGCAATGGTGCAATCTTGGCTCACTGCAACGTCTGCCTCTGGGGTTCAAGTGATTCTCCTGCCTCAGCCTTCCAAGTAGTTGGGATTACAGGCACGCACCACCATGCCCGGCTAATTTTTTGTATTTTTAGTAGAGATGGGGTTTTGCCATGTTGCCTGGCTGGTCTTGAACTCCTGACCTCAGGTGATCGACCCGCCTCAGCCTCCTGAAGTGCTGGGATTACAGTCGTGAGCCACTGCACCCAGCCTGGAAATTGAATTTTGTAGAATTTTCATGTGTCTTGAAATACTGGTCTTCTGACTTTTTTACCCTCAACTATTACAAAATGTAAAAATCACTCTTAGCCTCAGGGAGCCATAGCCTGGTATAGAAACCTAGCAGAAAGGTGTTAGGGAATGCTGGACTTCTTGAGTTTCTCTGCTGAAGTTGCTTCTCATGGGAATTCCTTTCTGAAGGACGAGGTTTCGGCTCTCACCACCCTGTTACTAATAAACTTAGTTAAAACTTTGAATCTGTCTCTTCTCATTCTCTTTGCGTTTTTATATCCTTTTATTTCTTTGCTATTATTTTAGGAGAGTTTTGGAAAGTAGAGTGTTGCATGTATGCAGTCTTGCATGTTCGTACTTTTATGCTGGATTTTTTAAAAGTCACATCTACCTTCATTTTAATTGCTTTGTTTCTCAAAGAGTAAGAAATAGGTTCTGCAGGACTGGAGATCAAAAAATTTTTTTGCTTTCTTCCTTACCTAAAATAATACATCATTCGGCCTCTTCATCTTTTTATGGGATGAGGAGAAGGATGAAAACAGATTCTTTGGCTTACTGTGTTGATTAGAGAGTGGAAGGCAAATCCAAGTTAATTTCTACTTAGATTTATTTGCATTGAACATAGATCTATGTGTATTTGTTCTGCCACATTTTTTGTATTATTGTATTATTTCTGGTTTATCATATCATAAATTCTTATTTCTTTTTTAAATCAATTTTTAGAATATTCTGTTAAATTTATTGTTTTCAGTGCAATAACCTATGGTGTTGACATTAACCATTTTTAATGTATAAATATTTTATGAAATATTTCTCTTTAATACTAATAAAACTTATCCATGATGTCTGGCTTCATGGGCTATGTGATCTCTGTCACAGCTACTCATCACTGCTGTTGTAGTGTGAAAGCAGCCACAGAAAACATATAAATTAGTGAGTATGAATGTGTTCTAATAAATTTTTACTTACAGACACTGGAAATATCATTGCAAATATTATCTGTGTTTCAGACAGAGTTTGCAAGTAGGGAGAAAAACCTGGAGAAATCCTTGACCCATTTTACACTGTCCTACCCCTCACTATCTTACTCTAGTAGGCAAAATGAAAGCTGTTTTAACTCCAGAAGAGGAGGCCAAGAGAGAAAGCTAGGATATTGGATAAATTTTTTTAACCATAGTAGGAGACCGCGTCTTTCAGTTGGCTGAAGCCTTCAAGACCAGCTGGTGCAGAAATGTTCTAGGATTGCTCTACATAGGAGTCACCCAGAGGAGAGCTTTCATCTGGGCTTTTACTGAGCTCACTGAAGGTGATTTTTAGATGGGCAGTCAGTTTAGGGAACCCTTGATTTTTTTTTTTTTAATAGCTCTTTCCCCTACCAGACTGTTACAGATGGTAAACTGAGTCCAGAAATGCTAATTGTTAGGTCACACTGTTGATTTGGAACCTAATACACTGTCCCAAGCACAGTCGGAATTCCATAGGCTACATTCCTGGTTAAATGCAGTCTTGGATGTGTTCTTCCATGTATACTATACATAGATTTTAATTTGCATGGGCGCGATCTCAGCTCAACACAATCTCTACTCCTTGGTGCAAGTGATTATCCTGCCTCAGCCTCCTGAGTAGCTGGTGTTACAGGCATGCACCACCACACCTGGCTAGTTTTGTATTTTTTTTTTTTTTTTTTGAGACGGAGTTTCACTCTTGTTACCCACGCTGGAGTGCAATGACGCGATCTCGGCTCACCGCAACCTCCGTCTCCTGGGTTCAGGCAATTCTCCTGCCTCAGCCTCCTGAGTAGCTGGGATTACAGGTACACGCCACCATGCCCAGCTAATTTTTTGTATTTTTAGTAGAGATGGGGGTTTCTCCATGTTGATCAGGCTGGTCTCGAACTCCTGACCTCAGGTGATCCTCCTGCCTCGGCCTTCCAGAGTGCTGGGATTACAGGCATGAGCCACCACGTGGGTTTGCTGCAGTTTAAAAATATGATTGTTAGATTTTGCCAGCTAATGATTGCTGCAGAAAAGTTTGTTTTACAGGCACAAAAATGTTCTTAAAAATTATGCCTTCCTGTTTTCATGGTTGGCTCATACAGCCATATCTTGTTTGCTCCAAATGCCATGACTTCAGCGGATAAGCATTTTTTTCCTTGGAATAATACTATCTATCAAGGACTAGGGCAAAGATCAACACTTTCATCATAGCTATGACCAGCAGAGATTTAAATTTTAAGTCTTTAATTAATTAGAGATTTTCTTCAAATTGCAGAGCCAGTTGAACGTCAATATTGGAGAGGACCATAAGTACAGCCTCCAATAATTCACAAAAGATTTGTTTGAAAGTACTATGGAAGGGATGTTCGTGATCCTTTTTATTTTTATCTTTATTTATTTGAAACAGTTTGAACAGTGTTTGAACTGAGTATTTGAACTCAGGGGTTTTTTTTTCCCCCCTTTTTAAAAATAATAATTTTTTTTCCTATAAAAGATATGTTCACAGTTAAAAACTTTCTGTGGTGCAGAAATAAATAAAATGAAGCAAGTTATCTACTGTCTCATTCCCAATCAGTAAGGGAATAGGGGTTCCTTGGGTATTTATTGTAAAATATCCTTCTATTGCCTATGGCTCTGGGACCATGTTGTAAAATCTGAGGAATAATGACAAAACTGCTGACAAGTTGAATTCGTTGAATGGGCAAGGAGCAAAATCACAATTCCTGGTAAGGAACTGGCTGGATAAGTATGAAATATTTCTGGCTGGGCACGGTGGCTCATGGGCATGTAATCCCAGCACTTTGGGAGGCTGAGGCAGGCAGATCGCTTGAGCTCAGAAGTTTTAGACTAGCCGGGGAAACATGGTGAAATCCCTCCTCTACAAAAAATACAAGTTAGGCGTGGTGGTGTACACCTGTGTTCTCAGCTACTTGGGAGGGTGAGGTGGGAGGATTGCATTGAGCCCAGGAGGTCAAGGCTGCAGTGAGCCATTATTGTGCCACTGCACTCCAGCCTGGGCAGCAAATCAAGGCCCTGTTTCCAAAAAAAAATTGTTTCTCTACTAGTTACACATAACAGCAAATTTTACTCTTCCGAGAATATGCAGAACAAGCAATCAAAGGTCCTGAGATTCCAGAGGAGTTTGAGGCCTCCCACATCCTCCACCTCTTTATCATCTCTTTCTGTGTAATTCTGAATATGGTGATCTTTTTTCAGATGTACAGAGCTGAGAAGTAACAAAGGAGGAGATAGCGCTAATTAGAGCTGATGCTGATAACTGCAGACTAGTAGCTTAAAAACATGCAAGAAAAAAAACAAAACAAAAACAGTTGAGAGGATCAGCATACTGAAAGACAGATACAGACTTCAAAGCCATAGTCTGTACTTCACTTTGTTTTGAGGGTGGGTTAAAGAATATAAAAATCAGTGGTTTGCTATAGGGGACCCTAAACCATTGATGGATATTCATTATACAATTTCTATTTTTGGCTGGGCACAGTGGCTCACGCCTGTAATCCCAGCACTTTGGGAGGCCAAGGCAGGCGGATCACCTGAGGTTGAGAGTTCAAGACCAGCCTGGCCAACATGGGGAAACCCTGTCTCTACTAAAAAATACAAAATTTAGCTGGGTGTGATGGCAGGTGCCTGTAATCCCAGCTACTTGGGAGGCTGGGGCAGGAGAATCGCTTGAACCTGGGAGGCAGAGGTTTCGGTGAGCCGAGATTGTGCCATTGCACTCCAGCCTGGGCAACTAGAGTGAAACTCCATCTCAAAAAAAAAAAAAATTCTATTTCTGGAAAACGGCAGTTTGTGGTAAGGCTGAATGAGATGTTATTGTATTCATAATGTATATTCGTAATTTTCAGAATCCCAATTAAAATTATTTTATGTTTGATTTTCAGTTCCACTTACTTATATGATCATTTCAAGAGATGTAATGTTGATTGCTGCTGTTTTTTATGTCAGATACCGAACTCTTCCAACACCAGTGAGTTTGTTTTCAAAAAATATTCTTTTAGCATTACTTACGATTTAAGGAAAAAAAAATATTTTTTAAGTCAACCTCTTCAATTGATGGCACACAAAACCAGGCCAGCCAGCCCTTATCCCTAGAAGCAGATTCTTTAAAGGTGTTTCACATAGGTCCAAGCCATATTGTTGTCTAATTTAACCTCTACCATGGATAGTCTAGAACTGGTTTTACAAATCACAGTTGTATGAACATGGGATGATTTGTTTGCATGTTTATTCACGAGCTCTATAAATATTTGGGCACATACACATAGCATATTAACCTCTTTGGCCCCCAATCTAGTGAAAATAGAGCAATATTTTGTTCATTTTATTTTTTAATTAAAAAAAATAGTGAATATGGAATTTTGAGTTTAGTATAATTTTATAAAGCAAACTTTATAAGTATTGTGTTTGAATTTTACAGCAATTGAGAAATAGTTATACATTTTTAAAAATCAATTTTCAGCATATATTGATTGTATGATTTATAAAATTATGTACCTAAATATAACAAAATGTCTATTTTAAATAAAATGACTATTTTAAACGATAAATTAAATACTTAATTTTTTTTAATCCTCTGCCAGCGAACACTTGCCAAGTATTTCAATCCTTGCTATGCCACTGCTAGGTTAAAACCAACATTCATCAGCAAGGTAAGAGAATGCAGTGTTTTCTTAATTTATTCCTTTGTATATTTTTATACTAGATATAAACCTCAGTCAAGAACAGCTGAAAATGAGACAAATTTAAATGCAGTGCATATAGAGGCTAGGGAGTGGTGTTAGGCAGGCAGCTGTAACCCGGTTCTTTTGTCTTCCATTACACTATAACATGACATCCCTCAGCATGCTTGCTGTTCATCTACAATATCGCTGCCCAAGAAGCTGGCATTTACAGGTGAGCACACACAAAAGGGTCAAATTCACTAATGGACCCATCCATGTTTTTTGGATCATCCTTATACATGTTGTGCCTTGGTGGTGGTCTGAGAGTTTAAGCTCTGAATGAGGTAATTGGGCCACTGTTTAGGGAAAGGGAATTGAAATGTAATTGCTGCTTTTTTTTTTGAGACAAGGTCTTACTGTGTTGCCTAGGCTGGAGTGCAGTGGTGAGATCCCGGCTCACTTATAGCCTTGAACTCCTGGACTCAGGTGGTCTTCAGCCTCCCAGGTTGTTGGGATCACAGGCACACACCACTGAATCAGCTAATTTTTAACTTTTCTATAGACATGGGGTCTCACTTTGTTGCCTGGGCTAGTATGGAACTCCTGGCTTCAAGTAATCCTGCCTTGCCTTCCCAAATTATTGGGATTACAGGAGTGAGCCACCAAGCTTGGCTGTAACTGCTTCTTGGTTGAGTTTCACAGATTGTGAAGAGTCCCTTGTGGTTTCACTGCCTCCCTCCCTAAGGTAAAAACACTAAATGGCCTTTCATTTTCAGGATTGACAAGTAGAAGGGATAGGAGAAAGTTTTGGTCATTAATAAACAACTGCTACTCTTAGTTGTCCATTCTGTTTTCCTGAGCATTCAGAACAAGTATATGCCAGTCTTTGCACACCACAAGGATACTATTAATGCTTCTCAAGCCATATCTGTTTTTTAGTAGCTTTGATAAGTTTGCTCAAATCATTCTTTTTTCCCATCTTTAATGTCAAGGATTTAATAGTTTAAGAATGCTCATTATTTTTAGGAGAGAGGGGTGATTGCTTTTATACAGAACTCCCTGAGGTGGACTTTTACCTACATGCACAGGGTTTTTTTGTTTTTTTTTTCAAGTGACTTGTATTTATATCAAGTATAGCAATTTGAGTGTAGCAGTATATGGAAAGTGGCTTAAAGAGGTACAGGGACAAGTACCTTATACTTACAGGAAGTTCTTTAGATAAAATTATGTATGTATGTATGTATGTATGTATGTATGTATGTATGTATTTTTGAGATGGAGTCTTGCTGTCTTGCCCAGGCTGGAGTGCAGTGGCTCAATCTTGGCTCACTGCAACCTCCGCTTCCCAGATTCAAGCTATTCTACAGGTGCGTGCCACCACACCCAGCTAACTTACTGTATTTTTAGTAGACATGGTGTTTCACCATGGTCTCTATCTCCTGACCTCGTGATCCGCCCACCTCGGCCTCCCAAAGTACTGGGATTACAGGCATGAGCCACCTTGCCCAGTTATATTTTATTTTATTTTTGAGACAGATTTTTGCTCTTGTTGCTCAGGCTGGAGTGCAGTGATGTGATCTCTGCTCACTGCAACCTCCACCTCCCGGGTTCAAGCAATTCTCTTGTCTCAGTCTCCCAAGTAGCTGGGATTGCATGTGTCACCATGCCCAGCTAATTTTTTTTGTTTGTTTTTTTTAGTAGAGATGGGGTTTCACCATGTTGGTCAGCCTAGTCTCGAATTCCTGACATCAGGTGATCTTCCCACCTTGGCCTGCCAAAGTGCCGGGATTACAGGCATGAGCCACTGCGCCTAGCTATTAACTGTTTCTTAAAATGAAGCAGAATCCTTGTCATTAGGCTGCTTGAATGGGTGATAGAACATTTGTCTGCTTCACCCGCTTTTTCATGCTTTCAGACTCTTCCATGGAATGCTTCTCATGATGACAGAAGGAGTCTCCAGTATATTTCTTGCTCAGTTTTCTTTTCTCTCCAGTGCTGTTTTTTAGTGTAGGGAAGACTACTCATTTCTTTCTCAAGAGAGGCTCTTTTATGGAGATGAGTGCCTTTTCTTTGAACCAGGGTCTTGCTCTGTCTGCCCAGCCTTGAGTGCAGTGGCATAATCATAGCTCACTGCAGCCTTGACCTCCCAAGTCCAAGCTATCCTCCTACCTCAGCCTCCCAAGTAGCTGAGAGTACAGGTGGATGCCACCATGCTTGGCTAATTTTTAAATTTTTTTTAGAGTTTGCATCTCGCTGCGTTGCCTAGGCTGGTTTCAAACTCCTGGGCTTAAGCAGCAGTGCTTCTGCCTCAGCCTCCTGAAGTGCTGGGATTGCAGGCATGAACACTCCATCTGTCCTGGGATGAGTACATTTTAATGTTTTTCTCTTCTTTTTCTCAGAACATGCCACTTTAACATTTTAGTTTTCTAACCTCACAAGGTTTGACAGGTACACAAGTGAAAGGAGCGTTTTATAAGGCCCCAGGAAATCTAGGTTCCAGCTTTGGTTCTGTTGTGGGCTGACTGCAGGCAGGTCACCCAACTCATTACCCTTTTATCCATGAAGAGGTAGCTTAATTATTTCCATATTCTATTTTAATGGGCAGTTGGAAAAAAGGCAAATAATTTTGCAACATTTTTGAGTTGCCATAGGAATTTAAGGTAGTGGTAATTTCTGACAGTTGTCATTACTAAAGGGCAGCTGTGCCCTTAGTGAATTTGACCCTTTTGTGTGTGCTCACCTGTAATGCCAGCTTCTTGGGCAGCGATATTGTAGATGAACAGCAAGCATGCTGAGGGATGTCATGTTACAGTGTAATGGGCTGTGCTTTTGTCTTGAAAGCTTGAAATAGGGTCCAGTTGGCACTATTCATTTAGAACTTTTTCTTTTTTTTATTTAGGTAAATACAGCAGTCCAGTTAATCTTGGTGGCAGCTTCTTTGGCAGCTCCCGTTTTTAACTATGCTGACAGCATTTATCTTCAGATACTGTGGTAAGCTAAATTTAGAATCACTTGCTTAGAATGTCAATAGAATGACTTCCTCTGGTAGCCCTAGAATGACCTTATTCTTACAGCCTCTATTGAACACTGACTGGATAAAGCTGTGGCTATGTTCTGTGATTGATACCATTCTTAAGAGACTTCCTGCCAAGTATGGGATGTAGAAGTTAGCTTTTATGCAAATTAAAAGGGATAAAAAGTACTGATAATGTGTTAAGGTTTTGGAGGAGAAAGAGATAACTTTGGAGGAAGAGATAACTTTGTAGGAAGAAGAGGGAAAGTTTCAGGGAGGAAGTGGCATTTGATGCATGAAGCGTAGGTGGACTGTGTAGGAAGAGACTGAGAGGAGGCCACTAGGTGAAAGACAGGGCCTAAGCCAAGGCAGAGGGTAGGAGAGTGGGTAGGGAAGTGGAGTGCAGCCTGTTGAAAGGAGTGTCGTAGGAGGGAAAACTGGAGAAAGGAGCTGGAATTTTATTATATTAATTGCTTATTTATCATCTTAAAACTGTGTCAAATTCAAGCTTTCAGAGTTCAAAATGTGTCACCTTGATACTGGAGAATTATATTTTGGCAAACTTTTAACTAGAATTCAAATTATCTTGCTTGGTGCAGTCTGGACCAGAAAGTGGTGGCTAATCACAGTCAGTTAAGCCAGGCAATCTTTAAAAAATGACAACTACTCTAAACTTCTTATTTTAATCTAAAATATTGAAGTGTATATTTTTCCTGATTCATCTTATACCCTCTGATGTAGGAAGGCAGCTTTTTGAGTGTTGGTCCATCAATGGTAGCTTTTTCCTTGGATAAACTACATTCATAATCCAACCTCTCTGATTTTCATTCTTTACTTCTTCTTTAAGGTGATGCAAGAACTTAAAGCATTTGCAAAGCAGTCTAAGAACTGTTTAAATTTTTTCCTCAGTCTTTTCACAGTCATCTTGCATCTTTATTTTGACAGTATTTCCCCCCGCCAGGAACTGATGAAAAGACGGTATTTTTTTTTTTTAGTCAAGTAACCTCTATTGAGTCTTTCTGAAGCATCCAGTGTAGTTTTCAGAAGTAGCAATTTTAAAAACATTTTTTTTGGAGACAGGGTCTTGCTCTGTCACCCAGGCTGTAGTGCAGTGGTATGATCATATATCACTGTAACCTTGAATTCCTGGCCTCAAGCGATCCTCCTGTTTCAGCCTCCTGAGCAGCTGCAACTACAGGTGTGTGCTACCACACCTGGCTAATTTTTTTTTAATTTAAACTTTTTTTTTTTTTTTTTTTTTTGAGACAGGGCCTTACTCTGTTGCTCAGGCTGGAGTGCAGCGGCCTGATCTCTGTGCACTGCAACTTCTGCCTCTCGGGTTCAAGCAATTCTCCTGCCTCAACCTCCTGAGTAGCTGGGATTACAGGTGCCTGCCACCACACACAGCTAATTTTTGTATTTTTAGTAGAGATGGGGTTTTGCCATGTTGGCCAGGCTGCTCTCTAACTCCTGGCCTCAATTGATCCACTTGCCTTGGCCTCTCAAAGTGCTGGGATTACAGGTGTGAGCCGCCGTGCCCAGCTACTAATTTTTTATGTTACTATTTTTTGTAGAAGCAGGGTCTTACTGTGTTGCCCAGGCTGGTCTCAAACTCCTGGCCTCAAGCAGTCCTCCCGCCTTGACCTCCCAAAGTGGTAGGATTATAGTCATGAGCCACTACATCCAGTTAGAAATAGCAGTTTTTCTAACACATGTATTTCATTGGTTTATGCATGAATTTAGAATATCAAAGTGGCATGAACAGGTTCAAGATGCAACAAAAGGGAATCTTGATTCTGCCTCACCTAATAAAAGCAGAAGCATGTGGGTGCACTAAAAAATAATCCTCTAGTTGTGGGCATTCAGCATGCCATGGGCATCACGTGATGTCATTTCAAGGAGAATCTGGTTAAGGGTAATTTGGTAAAGAAAGCTGAAATTTATTTAAAATGACTCAGATATATTTAGAATTCTCAAAAGCTACAGGAAATAGAGTCTGGTACTCTGAGCAGCATGGGGCAGTAGAAAGAGCACATGGTCTTTAGAGTTGAAACCAGGTCAGGCTCAAACATAGTTCTGTTATAAGCCTTGAGGAAGTTCTCTGGGTCTTCCATTTCCTCCTCTGGAGGATGAGGTTGTTGGAAGAATACAATGAGGATGTAAGACACCTAGAGGATGCCTGAGTAAAAACGACTGTTGATAGTAGCATTAATTTTTAGGGCTCATTACCTAGAATAATTTTGTTTGACATTACTAATTCAAATGAGGTCTTAAAGAAAAGTAGTGTATTTAGACTCTTGTAGTTAAGAAAAATTATGCCACAGAGCCCTTTCTACTTTGAAAACAGATCTTTTACATGTATTCATTATTATTCCCACTGCTACTATTTTTTAGACTTGACAACTAAATCTTATTTCTTTTCTTCTATAAAAGGTGTTGTACAGCTTTTACCACAGCTGCATCAGCTTACAGTTACTATCACTATGGTCAGAAGACTGTGCAGGTGATAAAAGACTGATGAAAGTCATCCATCACCGCTAGCAAGGAAGCAATATGCATCATTGGCAATCGGGTCCGTGGAAATCTACAAGAGTTTCCCTATTTTGGTGTTCAGCTTGAAAAAGGACTTGTCAGAACCAAAATTTAAGTAATGTGCATTGAAAATAAGCTTTGATCATGGTCATATGCAGAATTTCCAATGTATTTTTAAATACAAATAAAACCATAATTTAGAATTTTTAATCTCAGGTTTCTTGATTAATTTATAAGAGATCAATCATTGTCTATTTTTTTTTTTTCTTTTGAGATGGAGTTTCATTCTTGTTGCCCAGGCTGGAGTACAATGGTGTGATCTTGACTCACTGCAATCTCTGCCTCCCGGGTTCAAGCGATTCTCCTCCCTCAGCCTCCCAAATAGCTGGGATTACAAACATGCACCACCATTCCTGGCTAATTTTGTATTTTTAGTAGAGACAGGATTTCTCCATGTTGGTCAGGCTGGTCTCAAACTCCCGACCTCAGGTGATACACCTGCCTCGGCCTCCCAAAGTGCTGGGATTACAGGTGTGAGCCACTGCATCCAGCCATCAGTGTTTTTTATATGTTTTTAAAAAACATAGTCCATAGCATGGACAGAGTTGACACCTCTCTTCTAAATGAATTTTGGATTGCTCACAAAATACTAGGAAATGTCTTGGGGTTCAAATATATATCCTGCGCAACTGGGCAATACATTTTGTGTTTGATTTTTAGATCTGTGTATACATTAACAGTTTTCATGTAGTTAACACCTGATCATTTGGTATAATGAAAGTGAAGTTAGTTGTGAATGATGTAAAGTTATAAAAGAGATTTAAAATGCAGTAGGTTTTTAAGATAATAATCAAACAGAATAGAAAGTATGAAATTCATTTTCAGTAGTCTTCCAAAATCTCAGGTGCCTAATACTTTAAGTATCAGGATAACAGGCAACAAAGGCAGTTGAGATAGGAGAACATGTTGCATCTAAAAGGCAGTGGGTTACATCCTGCCTTCCGCTGTGTTTCTGACATAGCAATGTTTGTTTGATATTGGAACCTGTACTCATATATAATGTAAATAATATCAAGCTGTATATTTTTCAAAGGTTTTTTAAACTTTGGAGAATCTTCTTTTGTTAAGAAGTTAAAGGAATAAAAGAGCTGCAAAAAAATTGTACCTTTAACTCAGATTGTTCCATATAACATACTTCTCCTTTGCTGTTACGTAAGTTTTCCGATTCACAAAGTCTGTTTATGTACATCACTTCCACTTAAATTGTAAAAATAATTAGGTTGACCATCTGGCTTTAAAAGACATTTTTGCTACACCTAATGTTTAGGAGAATGTGGGCTATGGGGAAGGGGAGAAGAAGACCATGTCCGGTGGTAACTGGTTGCTGCTGCTTAAGAGTAGAGGCCTACTGCTGCCCATTGTCCCTGGTTTTAATCCAAGCCTATTACGGAATCCTGCCGTGAGATTACCCATTCTCAGCCTGTTGAGCTGCATTAAATTAGAATGGGAGGCTGTAAGTAAAACCCACCCCTCTTGGCCAGGCATTCTGTACCAGTGTCCCTCTGTGGCTTGCTGGTCCTGGCTTCTTTGTTCTCAGACCAGCAGCTGCGCTGCACTTGGCTTGGAGCATACCGAAGCCTGCAGCCAGGGACACTGCCTGCCATTGAATCAGATGGAGGGGGTTGACAAGGCGGAGAAGTGGGGCACGTAGCTGGCTATTCTCGCTCTCTGGAGAATATCGTTATTGTTAATAAGGTGAACTTCCCACTGTGCAACCACCCAAGATGCACACTGAGTGAGTCTCTGCATTAGTGACAGGTAAACCACATAAGAATAATGTTTTAAAAAGGGAGGACTTGAAGTAGTTAATGGGAAAATTTAGAACTTTGCACCTTGTTATGCTTATTTATGGCTTAGTGTTGATGCCATTTGGAGTGACTTACGGGTTGGACCCATAATCTCTTTATTATTAAGGTCTCAATCTGGCTCTGGTTAATAAACTTTGTCCACTTCAACCTTAGGAAAATGGTCCAAGTCTCCTCAGGCTTTTGGATTCTGAATTGTTATAAAACATTGAAATTATATTAGACATGTCTGAATATATACTTGCATATAGACTCAAAAATGATGAAAATTCATTTCAGTGTCTTCACAGAATAGACTTAATCTTGATAGTAAGCTTAAAAATAAACATTAGTGGTATTTAATTACATTTCTGTAGTCATTAGATTTTTGGCTTTGGCAGTGTGTTGGAATGGGGGCTTCATTCCTGAGCCCAAGCAATCCTTTCACCTCAGCTTCCCGAGGAGCTGGGATTACAGGTGCACACCGACCTTGCTTTGCAGTTTTGTTTTTTTGTGTGTATTTTTTTTTTTACAAGCCCACAACTAACATCATAGCTTTGTGCAACAGCTGGCAGAGATCTTTGAAATCATTTAGTCCAATTATCTTGGTTATATTTGTGATGAAACTAGGGATCTAGCTTAAAGTTTGGGTAAGAGAAGCTCTTTCAAAACTTCACACACTGTAAATATATAGTGCAATTCAGTTTTAGCTTCTGCAGCTTGGTGTGGAAACAAAACATACATGGGATTCAAACTTGATTTCTTTTCTTCTTACAGTAGAAGTAAATGCTATTGTGGGTTGAATTGTGTCTCCCAAGAAAGATATGTTCAAGTTCAAACCCTCAGTACTGTATCTGTGACCTTATTTGGAAATAGGGTCTTTTTAGATGCAATCAAATTAGGACAAGGTCATACTGGATCACAGTGGGCCTTAACCCAATAACTAGGTTTTTTGGTAAGAAAAGGGAAATGTGAACAGAGAGACAGAGAATGTGTGAGATGATGGAGGGATAGACTGGAATGATGTCTGCAAGCTAGGGAATACCAAGCATTGCTGCTGACCGTCTGAAGCTAAGAGAGGAGGGAAAAACCCCTCTGATACTTTGATTTTGGATTTCTGGCCTGAACTGTAGGAAAATAAATTTCTGTTGTTTTAAGCCAGTTTTACTAGTTCGTGGTAATTTGTTACAGCAGCTGCAGGAAATTAATAAATGCTGATGTTGAAAATTAAAATCTAGAAATATGGCTTTAATTATAATTTCACAGAACCATTTTTCCCCTGAGTTTGTATAAATGTGAAAAAGTAGAGGATAGAGTGGATGCATCCCACATGAAGACACAAATTATTGAGGCATTGATGTAATTATGGCAGAGAAACTCTTCGGCTTCTAGCTAGAGCCTGGGGTTCTCTTTTGCTCATTTCTTCCCTCTAATTAAGAAAAAATATTTCCAAAAGTTTATGCTTCCTAAAAAATGAATGTAAAGTTCATTTGTCCATGTAGTCGTAGGTGGAATGCAGTAACACTGATTTTAAAGAATAGCCTTTCCCTGTGTTTGACAGACGTTGCCAGAAAACTGGTTTTAACTGTACAGGTGGAAATACATGTTCTTGCCATGTCCTGAAATGGAACTAATAAACCCAGAAGCCCTTATGAAGCAACCACTAGCCCTCCCCCTTGTCCTGGCTCTCAGGAACTGGAACTGGAAATCCACTGGAATTGATTTCTTGAATTAACAGAGCTGATTATGCCTCAGCCAGAGTTTGATCATGAAGGAGCTTCCGCTGGAAAGACGTGAGGATGTGATTTCTAACATGGCCCAGGAGGCTGGGTTATGCAATTTCCCTGTTTCACCCCTTCCTCCTTCCATACACTATTGCACTGGGTAGAGGGGCACTGATGCTGAAAACCCCAAATGAAACAACACACAAGAAGGCCCGCGGCAGTGGGAGTGATCTGGCCTCTACCATCAGGTTTCTGGGAACAGAGAGTGAAGTAGAAGGAAGGGAGGGCATTTGTTCCTTGGACTGAGAAACTCAATGGGGCAAGTTCCATGTGTGCCCAAGGCATTCTAGCTTCACGGGAATTAGAAACCCTAGGAGCGGATACGGTCGCTTTTGACTCTGTATCTTCCTTTCTGCGCTCAGATCCAGTTCGATTGGAGGCATTAGCCCAGAAGCTGGCCTAACTGACGGTCTGGAGCCCCAGCGGGTAGTCAAAGGCCGGGTTTTTGTAGGCCAGCAAGTGTGTGTCGCAGCGCTGCAGGCGGAGCGTCCGGCCCCGCCTGCAGAGACACGCGGACAGCACCAGGGTGCTGACGAGCAGCAGGCCGCTAGTAGCGCACAGCCCCGCTAGCAGAAGCGCGAAGCTGGGCTTGGTGGTGAAGGTGGTGCACGCGCTCCTCCAGCTCGAGGACCACGGCTGGCTCAGGCCCGCCCTGTTGGCTGCCAGCACGCACACGCGATAGGTGGTGCCTGGTGACAGCCCGTACAGAGGGTGCTGCCGGGCTGTGGCGTAGATGACCCCCACCACCGACTGGTTCCCCGTCCAGCCCTCCGCAGAGTAGCGGATCTGGTACCCGTGCACCACTGAGTTGGGGGCACACCAGTGGACCAGCGCCGACGTGTCCGTGGTCTCCGTCACCCCCTGCAGCCTGGGCGGGTCTGGGATGGTGTCTTCCCCGCTGAGGCCGGGGCACCGGCACCGCGAGCGCCTCTGCAGCTCCGCACACGGGGTCTGCAGGTGCTTGCAGGGGTGGTAATCACAGGAGATGTCCTGGTAAAGCGCTCCCACCTTCTCCTTCGTCCCCTCCTCCTCCTCACTGTAGTCATCCAGCAGGAAGACTGGAATCCCGCCCTCGGAAGGAGTTGGGTTGGGGACCTGGGGGGTGGCTTGTGCCCTCTGGCCGGGCCGAGGTGAGTGTATGTGGTTCCATGAGGTAGGGAAGGGGCCGAGGTGCTTGCTGGCTAGTGGGGTGGAGGCAGCTGAGATGTCAGGCTCAAGGACAAGGCTGGGGGCATGTTCTCCTCGCTGCTGGGTTCTGGTGGTGCTGGCAGCCCTGGGGAAAACGCTGGAGTTGCTGTGACCTGCTACAGAGTTGGTCGTGGAGGGGGCAGTGCCCTCCCCTGCATCACTGTGCAGCCATGCAGCTATTGAGCGGGAGCCCACAGGGGCGGTAGGGGCCTTGGAGACATTCTGCTGGCCTCCTGCAGGTTGGTTGTCGGGAGCTGCACTGGGCATGAGGGTGGGACCCTGTGCGTAGGTGGAGGGGTCAAACCAGGGTAGGTATGAAGCCCGGAGGGTGGTGCTTTGGTCAGACTGGCACACTCCAGGCAGCTGGGAGAGTGACAGGGAGGCTGAGAAGGGG